TGTAGAGGTTTTTTCTCTACCCTGTATACAGTATATACAACAATTAACCTAGTGTATGATATTTTGTAGAGGTTTTTTCTCTACCCTGTATACAGTATATACAACAATTAACCTAGTGTATGATATTTTGTAGAGGTTTTTTCTCTACCCTGTATACAGTATATACAACATTTTAAAAAGTTTGTTCATTGTACTATCTTTTGTTGTTCAGAGCGAGGACAAGATGACGACAGAGGTTCAGCCTCGTGAAATCCGGATCCTGGAGACTGCAGAGGATATCCAGGGCCGAAGAGAGGAGGTTTTATTTCGTTACACAAATTTTAAGGATGCATGCCAGGAGAGGAGGAAGAAGCTGGAAGATTCCCGCCGATACCAATACTTTAAACGTGATGCTGATGAACTTGAAAGCTGGATTTACGAAAAGTTACAGACAGCCTCTGATGAGAGCTACAAAGATCCAACCAACCTGCAGGTATGACAAGACATTCCTAGGCTCACACATCAGGTGTGTGATTGTGTGCATGGTTTAGAGCAAGTGCACTTTCAGTATGCTTGCAATGAGGACAGCTCTTGTCATTTTTACACCCATTGAAAAAGATTGTGTGGAGGAATAACAAAAGAAGAGTTTCTTCTTGATATTAGTGTAGTGACATTTCTGTAATCTTAATAAATTGTCCTGAAAGGAATCTGAGATATCAAACGAAATCCATGATACTGCCAATATTTATACAAGATTCAAACTTGTTCAGAAATGTCCAAAATTATCTTAACTAATTAGGCATTCAGGAAAGTGGCTAATATTGTAAATATTTTATTATGGTTATGTTTATGATATAGACAATGTGTGAGCTGTAATGTAACATTGGAATGTTAACAGGCCAAGATCCAGAAACACCAGGCTTTTGAGGCTGAAGTAGTTGCCCACGCCAACGCCATTGTCGTCCTGGACAACACCGGCACAGAGATGATTGAACAGGAACATTTTGCCTCCGAAATAATAAGGGTAGGTATAGTCTGGTACAACAGCCTACAATCATTAGGGTAGATGTTGTCTGGTACAACAGACTATAATCATTAGGGTAGGTATAGTCTGGTACAACAGCCTACAATCATTAGGGTAGGTATAGTCTGGTACAACAGACTACAATCATTAGGGTAGGTGTTGTCTGGTACAACAGACTACAATCATTAGGGTAGGTATAGTCTGGTACAACAGACTACAATCATTAGGGTAGGTGTTGTCTGGTACAACAGACTACAATCATTAGGGTAGGTGTTGTCTGGTACAACAGACTACAATCATTAGGGTAGGTGTTGTCTGGTACAACAGACTACAATCATTAGGGTAGGTGTTGTCTGGTACAACAGACTACAATCATTAGGGTAGGTGTTGTCTGGTACAACAGACTACAATCATTAGGGTAGGTGTTGTCTGGTACAACAGACTACAATCATTAGGGTAGGTGTTGTCTGGTACAACAGACTACAATCATTCGGGTAGGTGTTGTATGGTACAACAGACTATAATCATTAGGGTAGGTATAGTCTGGTACAACAGACTATAATTATTAGGGTATTTGTTGTATGGTACAACAGACTACAATCATTAGGGTAGGTGTTGTCTAGTATAACAGATTATACTCATTAGGGTAGGTATAGTCTGGTACAACAGACTATAATCATTAGGGTAGGTGTTGTATGGTACAACAGAATATACTCATTAGGGTAGGTATAGTCTGGTACAACAGACTATAATTATTAGGGTAGGTATAGTCTGGTACAACAGACTATAATCATTAGGGTAGGTGTTGTATGGTACAACAGAATATACTCATTAGGGTAGGTATAGTCTGGTACAACAGACTATAATTATTAGGGTAGGTATAGTCTGGTACAACAG